GCTAATGATGGGAAAACTGGAAATGCAAACTGAAGAGCTGTCAAGCCATGTGCAGTACAACTCAATAACCTCATTGTCATCATCTTACCAATGGGAAAAGAACACCTGCAGTTTATCACATTATGAGCAAGGACTGTATTATTAGCATTACCTAAAGAAACCACATTTTTGCTAATGATGCAGTCTGCAAATGAGCTCATGTCTTTTTCTTTGTTTAAACCTTAACATCCAGCTCAAACATCCCTTCAAAAAGCAGAAACTGTAATCTGGTAATTAACTGTAATTAGAGAACTCCACAGCCACAAACCACAAAACAAACTGTTAACAATCCCTTTACTCTGATTTGGTTACACCATCTGCTTTGCTCAGCTCTATGTGCACTCTGGTAAGTCACCATTATTTGCAATCGAAAGAATTAAAGAATAAAAATCAATGTTGAGCTGCAGAGTCCTCAGTTGAACCTCACTGTTCTTACAAAAATACAACTCCACATTTAAGCAAGCCACGAAAAGACAAGCTTGCAGTCTTTCAAGGCATAAGACTGGTTGATAATTCTTTTACCCCCATAAAAGATTAGGTGTTACTCTGGAAACAAGTTCTCCCAATGTGGTCAGTCTCGAGTATTCAGGATGCTTTTATCCCAAGAGTTTGATTTTCAGAAGGGCCAGATGCTTAAAACTTTCTCACCTGGTGAATCTTCACATCTACATTAACTAGTTTAGCTTCAACAATCTGGAGCAGCTAATGATAAGCCTCCTCCACAGGCAGGCACAAAGAGTTCAAGCCAAAAATCATGCTCATCCTGCAGTTGAGCACAGCTTCAAAAGTTTCCCCTCATGTGCCAAACACTCGGATCTTAAAACATTTGAATTTGAATATTTGAATATCCTGCAACATTATTTCTGCTACTTTCTTCCCTTCTTTACTGTGCTAACAGCACTTGCTCATTCTGGAGATGGAGGGGCTTTTCATGTATTTCGGCTTGGGTTGTTTTTTAAGCTTGTAAAGCACATGTCCATGTTGTAAGCAAATTTATTGGAATGTGAAAGCATTATTCTTCTCCTTTATGAAGACCAAATGGATTAAGTGTCATATTCTATATGGCAGTGCCAGGATGCTGTGTGGACCCAGAACTTTATAGTTTTATAAGACATTTATTAAAACATTTTGAAAATCTCAGACCTGCAGCAACGTCACTCAAGTAATCAGTTGAAAACATGCAATTAAAAGCATTCAAGTATGTACACTTGAATATACTCGAGTGTAATTCCTTGTTATAGTATGGACAATCGGTCCAATTATCATTTCTGTAGTACTCATCTCTAGCTGTGATTTCATAAACCCCAAATTTGAGGTAAAACAACAAAGTAGAAGTATGTGGTTCCTTTCTCTTTCCATCCTATGGATTGCAGGTGAGTGATACAGATCCACTACAAAGCCTCTATTAGTGCAGCTTCATTTAAATTAGGATGCTACAACCACTTGTTAAAATTCAAGGAACAGTGCTGGGATCTAGAGGAACCACACCCAGCCACAGAAACCAAACCACACCAGAAAGGGAGGCAGATGCCATCTTCTTCTCTACTCAGGAAAGAGATATTACCCTCTGTGGATGTAATAAATCAGGGATGTAAAATACTTTGGAACCTCCATTTCTCATGCCCTCTCCTGCGCCTTTTGCCCTATGAGGTCCAAATCTTCCCCTTTGTGTACAGATTCTTATACCATCCAGTAACATGAGATCTTTCCAGAACTAGTGCTCCTAGTTAGTTCCTGTAAGACCTTTTGAAGAAGTCAGCTTCAAGCATGACAACCTTACCTTGCATTAAATAAGACTCTACTGCCATTAAAATCATTTGCAGCTTCCTTTTTTCATTAAAATCTTTGCATGCTTCCAAGACCTATCTCCTCTCTGTGCTCAACACAGTCCCAGAAACATTTAATGTGTTCTTAGCTGTGCAGATCAGTTACTCGATTTATGCATGCATAGGCTTTGAAAGACCAATATTTGCCAAGTGTTAGCCTAAAGCCAGAATACTTCTCAGGTGTCAAAGAGAGAGGAAAAAACAGAAGATCATATAGTGTAGTAAATGCTACTGAAAATGACTGGCATGTGGGAAGAATGTATAATCTGCAGAAACAGGAGCTACTTGACTAACAAAACAGTAACAGCTTGTATCCCTGAACTGAAAAGGTCACTTAACCCTCAGAAAAAACTAATTGGATAAAAGGACTTGAATCTACACCAAAAACAATCTGTGCTGTTTAGGTGATAACAAAAGCAGAGCTTGCCAAGATAAAGATTCAATTCTTACCTTTCTGGTTGTTCCAAATTCAGACGAAAGACAACTGGAACAGCCGTGGCCACTCCGGACGAGCGCCTGGTATAAAGAAAGCTCTTTGTTTAATTTGTGCATCTGAAAAATGCAAGTCTTTGGACATACACTTTTTAAAGTACAATTGCTTACATTAAAGAGGAAGTACTTATCTCCTCATGGCATTACAGATGCTGCTATTCTGGAAAGAAGAAAATGTATTCATTACGGAGGCGAGAAAGCAATGTGCAGAACATAACAGAGCTGAAAGTCCTTCCTTAGACCTCCTATGTCTCCAACCATTGCATTTCTAAGCAGAGTAGGCAAAAATTTGGAACTTAATACCTGAATTGAAAAGTATTGTTTAAAGAAATAAGAAAAGAAAAGGATAAAGAAAATTAACAAAAATGATTATGCTTTAGTGTAGGAAAATGTGATATAACTCATCCATTGTAAATCATGCTTTAAATCACACTAGGTATGCATGGTCATGACACACACAAAAAAACCCAAATCAAAACCCTTCCTCCAAATGCAGACTCACCTCTCACAGATGTAAGTACTGAGTCAAACTGGAAATAATTTACTTAAGAACTCTTGAGTGATGCATAGCAAAACACATTTCTGTTTCCCCCCCCAGTCAGGTAATAATACAATACACTGTTGAACTGATTCAGAAAGGTTTTAGGTTAGGAACACAGCTGCCACCACGTATGATCACGATGCTCTTCCAAATGTGGTTTTAACCACAAATGGGCCACAAATATTCTAGAAAATTCTAAGAAAACCTTTTGAAACTGCTTTCTTCTCTTTTAGATAAGAGAAGGCATTATTCGTGCATATCAACACTGACTTTTAGCCAGTAATTACAAACCTGAAGTTTCTTATGCAGATTAATCAAGTTGATACATGAGGTGCATCAGTTTCTATCAAGTTGCAAATGTTACTAAACACTTCATGGCCCATTCTAGTCAAGTTTAGTGAAATATAAGAAATCATCTGTGACCAGCTCTGGCCAGTTACACCAAATGGCAAAACGGCCTCCATCCAAATGTAACATCCCTGGGGCTTCTTGTGCACTTTCTAGATTAAACCAGAGGAAACATACCTACCACCAGTGTCAAATGATTTCCAGTTCTGTTCCATCCGTATCACCACAGTTAAGGGAGAAGCTACCACTAAACCTTTGCATCCTGATTTTGCATAGTCTTAACAGAACCCAGCAGAATTAGAAGAGGCAGACAACCAACTCACTACATTAATACTACTTAGTCAAAAGCTTTTTTCCACTCTTCTACCCAGAACATCCACAAGTAAGTTCAATCACATAGAAAGGTCCACCTAGACTTCATCATGCCACTTGCTTGACGAGTGACTATTAACTGGAGGAATAATTCATCAGAGTCAGTGCAAAACAGTGTTTTTTACTTAGCTGTGAAAGGGAACCCAACACTTAAGAAATCAGAGCATTAGAAGACAACATGACAATTTTGTTATCAATTAATAACTTTTATAGCCCAAATTTAAAAATATTAAATCAGAAACAATTAAAGATTCATGAATTAAAATCTGGAACTATATACATGCATAATTAAGAATATCTAGATTCTTCTCAATATTTACTTAAGCTTTTTGTACAAGTTCTTTCACACAACCATATTTACAAACATGTCTGTTTAAAACATAGGAACATACATCTTTTATAGCATTTACAAATTATTTGAATATAATTTTTTTTCTTAATAACAAAACAATATTTCATTGATTTGACAGATTTGGTTTCATCATATGGTACTGGACAGGTATTTATCCAGTGGAATATCATTATTCAATTATCTAAAGAAAAGACATCAAACTGGTACCCAGAATTATCACATATGGCTTTTAAATACCTCTCAGACTCAAAGGATCATCTCACAACTGCAGTTTATCTGTAGTATGTTTCTAATTAAAGTCTTGAGCCTTTGTTTGGGTTAGATCCACAACATGTAAACACGTTCTAGGCATGTACTCAGAAACAAGAATCCCTTGTAATTTAAAGACAAAACAACTGTGCTTCCAGTGAATTAAGCACATATTAAGTATGTACAAAATGGGATGTGTGAACTTTCTCTAGGCATTCTAGCTACCTTTATAGGATGTTTTATTGTCATGGGATAACGTGGTTTTGACTAGACAGTATTTCTGAGGATTTACAGGAATCAAGCGAGAGACAGGACCATGAAGATGATCAGAGGGCTGGAGCGCCTCTCCTATGAAAACAGACTAGGAGAAGAGAAGGCTTCTGTGGCACCTCACAGGAGACTTCCAGTACCTAAAGGCACTGACAAGAAAGCTGAAGAAGGACTTTTCTATAAGAGCATGAAGGAATAGGACAAGGGGTAATGACTTTAAACTGAAAGAGGGGAGATTTAGATTAGATATAATGAAGACGTTCTTTACTGTGAGAATGGTGAGGCGCTGGCACAGGGTGCCCAGAGAAGCTGTGGCTGCCCCATCCCTGGCAGTGTTCAAGGCCAGGTTGGACACAGGGGCTTGAAGCAACCTGCTCTAGTGGAAGGTGCCCCAGCCCATGGCAGGGGCTTGGAACTAGATGATCTTCAAGGTCCATTCCAACCCAAACCATTCAGTGATTCTATGACTTTTTATATACAAAAAGTCTGAGGAGGTTTTGTACATTATGTTAAGTTACTGATACAATCTAACCAGTCAGATCACTATCTAGTAACAAGGTCTCACTTCACAAATGAACTAAAAATGTCAGTTTGCTTGCTTTTGTCTGAGAAAAAAAACCCCAAACTTTTGGCTTTGGCAAATCAAGTAGCCATCTCCTTTGTTCTCTAGAGCTCCTGCACTGCTTGTTCCACAGTTGTTTCTTCTACAGGCTGCATAGCTTCCTGAACATAAACTATAAATTCAGAAGCCTCTCCACCCTGTGTATAGACAGTCACTGTCTCAATCCCTTCCACTTCATCTGATGAAACTACCAGGTGATGCTGCTCAGACAGCTCCACTGAAGCCTGCTGCAGCGTCTCTTGAATCATCAAAGTGTGGTTGGCTGATTGCTCCTCTTCTTTTACCTAAGGAGAAAGTGAAGAGGTTACAGGAATTTCACCTTTCTGAGAAGTACCCGGTATTGTGATGATTAATGGAGATACAGCACAGAAATTAGCAATCAGGTAGTTTTGAAAGCAAATGTCACTTTTACAGAGAATGGGTTGTGAGCTCTTCTGATTTAATAAGTGTATAGCTAGATAGAATACTGAAAGCAGTAATGCAGCATCTCAGTGATATGCAGTGAGAGCTGCATAGTTGCACAACATAAATCTTTGGAGACAGTTTTAATCTCTCAGCAGTCATTCATTCAAAACCACTCTTACTGAAATACATCTCAAGTCAAACAATACCCCTAGTAACACTGAGATGAGAATTCATTGAAAACCACATGAAAAAACATCTGGTGAGCCCATCTCTTTCTCTTTTTTTCCTAGCCAACCCATTGCACATTGCAAACCTTAACAGACTTATATCAGAAAGCTGTGAAATATAAATATTACTGAATTAGACACCTAAGACCTCCTGTATGTGAGGCAGCAATTTTTACATTATTGAAAGGATAGTGACAGAAACAATTGAAAATAACAGCATTTTTACTGAACATTCTGCATCCTGTCAAAAAGAGAAAGCCAATACAATTTGGTATCACATTGCAAAGAGTTCTAACAGCTGCCTGTCAATTATTAAAGTACAGTACTTACTGGAAATCAAAACCAAATATTACTTATTGAACACATCCATACAAAATTTCTATGCAAAGTACTCTAGGCCAGTAAAAACACATCAGACAACTGTAAGCCATGGGGAGGAACTGCATACTTGCAACTTAGTGACAAAATAATGTACTTTTGAGGACAGAATGGAATAGCAATTATGTGGTATGCAAGATACATGTTAAGGGATTTCTTAGTTGTTTTCAGTACAACACCACTCCCTGTGTTCACTGGGGAGAGTTGTTTTATTTCATAAAATCATAAAATCATTTAGATTGGAAAAGACCTTTAAAAATCTATCAGTATCAGTTTGCTTGCTTTTGTCTAGGAAACTTACCCAAACTTTTGGCTTTGGCAACCATCTCCTTTGTTCTCGAGAGCTCCTGCACTGCTCGTTCCATAGATGTTTCTTCCACAGGCTGCATAGCTTCCTGAACATGAACTATGAATTCCGAAGCCTCTCCACCCTGTGTATAGACAGTCACTGTCTCATCGATCACCTGTGATCGAGTCCAAATGTTAACCCAACCTTGCCAAGTCCACCACTAAACCATGTCCCTGCGTGCCACCTCCACACATCTCTTAAATACCTCCAGGGATGGTGACTCCACCACTTCCTCGGGCGGTATGTTCCAATGCTTGAAAATCCTTTCAGGGAGGAAATTTTTCCTAATATCCAATGTAAACGTTCCCTGGTGCAACATCAATCTACTTCCCCTTGTCCTGTCGCTTTGTACTTGGGAGAAGTGACCCCCATCTCTCTCTATCCTCCTGTCAGGCAGTTGTAGAGAGCGAGAAGGTCCCCCCTGAGCCTTCTCTTCTCCACACTAAACCCCCCAGGTCCCTCAGCCCTTCCCCATCACACTTGTGCTCCAGCCCCTGCACCAGCTCCATTGCCCTTCTCCGGCCCCGCTCCAGCACCTCAATGTCTCTCTTGTAGTGAGGGGCCCAGAGCTGAACACAGGATTTGAGGTGCAGCCTCATCAGTGCCCAGTGCAGGGAAATGATCACATATTGAGCTCAAGAAAATATAGTTAAGATCAGTATTGCTGCCTAAGGGGAGTGGCAACAGAAGGGAAGAACTATAGTGAAGATTCCAAGCGTGTTTGACTCCTCAGAGAACAGCAAGGAGAAAAAGAGGATCTATGTGTTTGTTTTGCTGCTGCTCTTTCCTAATTTCCTTTTTTTCCCTAAGCAACCATTCCCATTGTTATACACTGTCTTTTAACCTTTTTATTGCATCTTTAAAATATCTGTCAGTTGAAGAAGATTTCAGACATGCACAAACCCCTTAGGACTTCACATCACTTTGAACTTTCACTCAATTCATCAGGCTATGCAAAGCTTTTCCTTCAACAATAACAAGTGTGTTCAGGTGTTAAATTATATGGAGGTCCGAGAGTCAGTATGCCTGTAATACACCAATGAAATATATGTGGATTTTTATCTGGTAAAAGATTTAACATCTAAAGGGAATCTTGCCATTGTCACTGACCTTAATGCAATGGCACAACCGTACCTACTGGTGCTGACTGTGGCTTTGTTGCACAGGATTCAGAATATAGGGATAAAAGGACAGGAATGGGCTGAAGTCCTTTCCATGTTCTATTTCTTTTACCAAGCATATCTGAACATTTTAATTGAAAGATACTTTAAACAGCTTCTGCCAGCTGGATGCTTGTCTTGATACAATAAGATTTGCAACCACCCTCAGAAAAACTAACCTATGTTGTCATAAAATACGAGCACCGACAAAGTACCCTTTACTAATGGAAGCTTGAGCCCCTCTGTGAAAAGCAAGGAGCTAAATCATGAAAAGGAACAGCACTGTCAACTTCCTCTCTTGTTCCTCCCCACTCTT